TAGCTTGAGGGAGCAGGGAAGTGAAATGATCACATCTCATATTTCAGGAGGGTGGCTTGGGGGAGAAAATTTCTGAAGCCATTTAGGAGGCTTTCCATGTGAAAGACAGTGGTAGTCATAGGGCTGGTGAGAAGTTAACAGATGTGAGAAGTGGAGAGGATGTCAGGTTAATAAAACCTGGTGATTAAATGTGGGGAAGAAGGAAAGAGAGATATTTGTGGCATTTACTGAGATAGTAAACCCAGGCAGCAGAAGACAACTCTAGGGTATGAAGGAAGGGTAGGAGAGATAGAGAATTCAGTGTTCGACCTATTGAATTGGAGGCGGCTTTGGACAACCAGTTGAATATATTCTGAATCTTAGGAGACAAGTCTGGGCTGGAAATAAAGATTTGTGATTCATCAGTTCCTAATTAGTCTCAGTGACTCCTCTGGTAATTGAAACCTTTGAAGTAGCTAAAGTAACTTAAGGAGAGTATAAAATGAGAAGAGAAGGTTGATGAAAAACCATGGGGAACTCTAGCATTTAAAGGAGGTGGAGGGAAAGAACTACTTACAGAAAGCTGAGAGCAGTGTTTGGAAAGATAGAAAAATCAGGAGGGTTGCCAAAGAAAGAGCCAGAGGTCACCCATCAGCACAGATGTCTTTGTACTGCTTCCCCAGTCTGTGAACGATCAGATGACATGTAGAAGCCAGAGCTCTCTGCCAGCTCAGTAGTCCGGTCTACACAGTAAGCATACATTTTATGCTCTGAATGCATGGACTAGAATGAAAAGAGTATTTTTCTTTGTTTACTGATAAACTGTTTGCTTCATCTGTTAAATAGAGGTGATGATACTTGAGAATAGGATAGGGTTGTAAGAAATTAAATGAATAAGAATAAATATGTAGTACTGAGCCTAACACACATAGGTATCCAATGAGTGATGGTTGTTTCTCTCTTTCTCTGTCTCTATTTCCCTCTTTTCTCTCTTTCTTTTTTTTTTTTTTTTTTTTTTTGAGACAGAGTCTCACTTTGTTGCCCAGGCTAGAGTGAGTGCCATGGCGTGAGCCTCGCTCACAGCAACCTCAAACTCCTGGGCTCAAGCAATCCTGCTGCCTCAGCCTCCCAAGTAGCTGGGACTACAGGCATGCGCCACCATGCCCGGCTAATTTTTCTATATATATTAGTTGGCCAATTATTTCTTTCTATTTATAGTAGAGATGGGTCTCACTCTTGCTCAGGCTGGTTTTGAACTCCTGCCTCGGCCTCCCAGAGTGCTAGGATTACAGGCGTGAGCCACCGCGCCCGGCCTCTCTCTTTCTTAATAGAGAACTTGTGCCTTATAAAATTAAACTGTGATTTTTTTTTATATGGCAGATTTCCATGAAGAAAAAATGTAATTATTGATTGAATTGTGCTGTTAGAATTAGAATTATGTTCATAACAAACAGGAACACTGATAAACTTGCAAAGAAAACAAAGCCAAAAATTGTACTTGTTATCCCCTTGTTGAATCTGGCCTTCTGTTTCAAATTAATTAGATTTTTTTGAGAACTATGCTAAACTTTGTCATATCCTTATTAAAATTGTTTAAGGATTTTGAAGAACATCTCAGAGGGACTCTAAAACTAATCTGAGTCTGGTACTGGAGATTCCATTAGCAATCGCAAAACTGATTAATCTTTTACTCAGCTTATTGATTATTGCTGCAATTACTGCATGTAACAGATTATGCAAGGGATAGCAACAGAAAACACATTTTATAACTGCTGCTGATGTATTTGGTTTGAGCGCAATATTTTGTACTCATAGACATAATTATTTTTGCATTTTAAAATACTGAAACATTTCTAGTAAGATAGAAAGTGGTATGTTTAGTATTGTTTCAGTATTGGGAGTTGTACTTTTTAATTTCTCAACTAATGCATTATAGTTTACAAAGTGCCTTCATTAATTCTATTGCTGCAGTTTAATTTTTGAGCCTCACAGTAACCCTATGTAGTAGAAAGAGTAGATATTTTTACTCTCATTTGGGGAAACTAATATTCAAAAGGGTTAAATGACTTCCTGAAGTCTGTACAAGTTAACAAGTGGCAGAATCAGAATTCAACCCCTTTTCAATCAATAAGTATTTATTGAACACCTACTGTGTGCAGAGCTTTGTGTTAGGGGTATTAAAAGCCAGGATGGGATTATAGAGGTAAAGATAAAGAAGCTATCTGGATAACTTCAAGTAATGGTTTCATTAATGTTATGATGGTCACTTTGTTACTTTTCTGTCCAAGTCATGTTAAGTATCTTGGTATACTAGCTATAGTTTTTTGTTTGCTTTTTTGTTTTTATGTAGTAGAAGTCTTTGTTATTACTACCTACTTTATCACTATTTAGAATGAAATTGGAGAGAATCCCTTTAAAAGAAGAATTTATTTGAAAAGACACAGAGAAAATCAAAATCTAAAAACGATTTGGTTTGCAGTTTATTAATTGCTATCTTATCTGTTTTCTAACGTGAGTCTCATAGCTATCCTCTGGTCGATCCTATCTTCATTTTACAAGTGAGTAAAGTGAGGCCCAGTGAGCCTTTCCTCACTGAGGTCAGGTGCTAGGAAATGGCTAGTGATGAGACGTCTAGGTCTGAGCACTCTGACTCAGGGGTCAGTTGTGTAGAGTGAGCCCACACTGTAAGTTTATCACCCTTTACAGTATGTTCTTGATGGTGAATTACTTTGCTGTGTGGAACACAAGATTCCTCATTAACACAAACACAAATCAAACCCACTATTTCAGCAAGAGAAAATAAATATACTTGAATTTGGAGGAAATGTCAAAAACCAAAAACAAAACCTAATTACTTGTTTTAGAGACACTGGTAAGTGGCATGCTTGATATTGCTGTGATTGCATTAATCATAGTACAAAGAGATGTTTATAGATTGCCTAAAAATTCTCACAATGACTATAAAAGTATATATAGTTTGCCAGTTGATTTGGCACAAACCTAAAATGAAAGGGAAACTTTTTATTTTGTAAGGTAAATAAATAAAACTGGAAAACAGGTCAATTTCATGCATGCAAGGTTTTATAGTAGGAAAAAAAAATGCATTGCACCTGTTCTGACCCTTTACATTTGAGGTTATTTGTTTTCAAACTTGACCCCAAGCACCAGTTTTAGACAACTCTATAATTAATTTGTTAGATAAAGCATAAGGATATTTTATTTGTCTTGATTTCTAGGACTATGGTGAAGTAGTAACTGAAATTACTAACCTATTGTACATAGCAGTTAATTAAAGAAAAGCATTAGCTATAGGAGAACACCACCATTGCTGTTGTCTTGTATCAGTACAAAAAGGCAGTAATTTTTTTGACAGCCACTGATTGGAAAGTTGCTTGCAGCCTTTCAGAAGCAAGGGGGTACATGCTGTGGATCAATAACCGGCAAATTTCCCATTAAAGAGAATACCTGAGCAATGTTTCAAATAGCCACTGGCATCTTAATTTTCCATGGAAACCTCAAATACTTGTGTGCTGAGGACAAGTCATTTTCGGACAATTTTTCCAGACTACTTGTTAACAGTTATTGCTGTCCCAAAAGGTTGACAGCCTACATGATTGATATTTCATTTACTTGTCATCACTGTTTGAGTAATGGCGAGTGCTATATTTCTGTGGTTTTAAGGAACAGAATCTCCTCAAAGACATTTGCCTTAGTATGTATTCCAGAGAGTGTGCTGTACATGTTTATGCTGTATGTATATACAGTTTTAGGTCTAGAGAAGGAGAGGATCACTTTCCTTTACAGTTTGAGAGCCTTTGGAGATCAGGGTACACTTATGTCAGTCCATAGCTATCAAAAATCCACTTTCACTTTATTTGTTATTAAGGCAAAGAGCCTTAGACTTGTTAACTTTTGATTTCTAAGATGATATATAATAGAATTTTATAGCTCCCCTTTATTGGGGAATAAAAGCTTTGGTCTTATAATAATTTTGATGTACATAAAAGCAATAGGGAAGATGTATGTGTTATCTTCTAAAAAGAAACTTTTTTAGAATGTCAGCAAATAATGATAATCAAGGAGGAATTTCCTGAAAATGTGGTAGTTAAATAATATGCATGTGTTTTTAATATAGAAACAGTAAGGATGAAAGGGGAGTTCTGCTCTTTGACAGCCCCTCAAAATACAAAATCAGCATTTTGCATAACCAGTATTTTTCCACCAAGAACATTAGTTTGTTGTGTCAGACGTTATAAAGAAGTGAGAGTGCAGTAGCCATCTCCAAGTTAGGTGGACATATACTTACCAGTTAGCATATTAAAGAATATGGGAATCGGACCACAGTATAAGCTATGGAGTAATTTGTGTTCATGAAGGAGTATGAAAGCTTTTTCATTTAGAACTTTATTTTTTGTGCCCAGAATTTTACAGTGAAATTTGATCCATAATAAAGTGTTTATAAGGCTAAAGCATAAAAGGTATGTTTGCTTGAAACTAGGCTACCTTTTTATCATGTTAATCCTGTCATCTTTGGATGGGTCATATCTTGTTTCCGGGTTCCACAGTCTCTCTGATTTAGATTTCCATTATTTGTGTATTTTATAGACAAATGTGAATAATATTTGATTAACTGGTGTGTAGGTCCAAAACAATTGTGAAGCTTCTTCACTTTGCTATGCAAAATTCAGGGGAAAAGAACAGGAGGCAATTTGAGAAATTTCTGCTAAAATGTTTTAGTGTCATTTTAAATATTTATTTAAAAAATGTCTTAAATAAAAAACTCATATTAAGTCTTAACATTTTTAAAGATAATTGGCAGTGTGAAGGGCAACACTATACAGGACTTTTCATCCTGAATATTCACTGTAGTGTTTTTGATGTGCAAATATGGGAAAAGTATTCTCAAGGCTGATATGTGTATACCAGCAATTTACAAAAGTACTATGAATTAAACAACCCATGAGTGTCTATTCCAGTATTCATACATTACTGAGTAATCTATTTCTATCATCTCTTTGCAGTATTATTCCACAGTAATGGAACAGCAAGTAAATGGACAGTTAATAGAGCCTCTGCAGATATTTCCAAGAGGTAATGTTGAGCAAATTCTAATCAACAATGATTATTTCAGTAAACTGTTTCATCAACAGTTATGTTTTCCAAAGGTTTAAATGCACATAACATGATGTTTAGATTTTAATTTGAAAAACCAAAAGAAGTATTCATTATCATGGGGATTACAGGCTATATTATAGTTATGGCAGATAAAATATCTAATTTACTAGAGTAAATTAAACTAACTAGATTGTTTTTTGTTTTTGAAGTACATACTTACATTAGCTTAAAGAACACTTTGGGGGCCCGCATGGTTTCTAAACCAAGGCAAATGAATGACTTTAATTCTGGATATTTGTAAATTGTGTCTCATGATGGTAGCCAAAGCTGCTATTGAGGAGAAAGCTTTCAGCTAGTACAGAAGCTAAGATTTACTGAGGGGTTTTAGGAAAAAAATTTTGGTGAAATGTTCAGTGCTTCATTTTTTTTTTTTTTTTGAGACAGAGTCTCACTTTTGTTGCCCAGGCTAGAGTGAGTGCCGTGGTGTCAGCCTAGCTCACAGCAACCTCAAACTCCTGGGCTCAAGCGATCCTCCTGCCTCAGCCTCCCAAGTAGCTGGGACTACAGGCATGCACCACCATGCCCAGCTCATTTTTTTTTTTTTTGTATATATACTTTTTAATTGGTTAATTAATTTCTTTCTATTTTTAGTAGAGACGGGGTCTCGCTCAGGCTGGTTTCGAACTCCTGACCTCAAGCAATCCACCCACCTCGGCCTCCCAGAGTGCTAGGATTACAGGCTTGAGCCACCGCACCCGGCCAGTGCTTCATTTTTTGAGGAGCTATTTTCTAATTAACAGAAAATCCTCATAAATGGAAATTTTATTGTTAAGTCTTCAAAAATAGGAGCTGGTTAGAGTAAGTCTTGGTGAATCACCTGGTCAAATAATTTTCTTTTTTCCTTATAGGTTTGGCAGTACTAGCCTTGTAGATATGATTCTTCAACTGCATAAAAATGTTCCCTTAAAATTTGAATAATGGTGAAAAAGAACAGTTAATTATATAAACCATTAAGTCTTTCACCCATTTTACATTGCCCCACTTGGAATCCATGTTTTCTAACTAATGGAACAGATAAGGAAATTCTCTAAGTAACCCTTCTAGAAATAACTTAATTGAAATAATTAAAAGTTAAACTTACCTTCGTTAACTGATACTGTACAAATAATCATGGTATGAGTTTTCCAATTAAACATTCTAGACTTTCATTACCTATAACTTTGAAGTTTGAATGGCTCAATTAACCAGTAGGCTCCTACTTGTACTAATAAAGTCTCCAAAGGCAGCTGGCTTGGCCAACCCCACAAAATATGGGTTCAAAAGTGAATTGCTCTTCTAGCATATGTGTGGGCAGCAGAATTGGGAGTGCTTATTTCATTATTAATCACTTATTAAAGTGCTAAATAAGTAAAATTGGGCAATTTATGACCGATAATAGTCCAAAACAAGGATTGTGATTTATCCAATTATATTGTACTTGAAGACTAAATACCAAAATAGGAAGAAAAAAAAATAAAGAAAGAGAAAAAGAGAAAGAAATGTTGCCATTTCTATGTACAAGGCCAAGAGCAAGGATGCACATTTTTTTTTTTTTTTTTTTTTTTACTGTTTGCAATGACTAGAAAATTTAGGCATGTTTCAGAATTGTTTTTCTACAAGGAGTAGTTTTTTATAAGCTGAAAATTTCCATTAATTTCTTCCCTACTTGATAACATTATAGCTCTGTTGTAGCAAACCCTAGTGCAATATCCTGGGGAATTATAGTTCCAGTGTTGTGAGTCTTCATTTTTCTTTTCAATAAAATATTTACTTCTCTTCATCTACAGTCTTTTCAAGTTCTGTTTGTTTTCTTTCATTTTGTGAATAGTTCCTGTCATATTCACTGTCCATACCATTGTGACCCCTCTGTGATAATAACAAAACCATTTTTAGACATCTGTTCAGTTCAGGCACTAATATTGCTGGATGTGTCATCATTTCTAATCCTCCCAACAGTTCTGCCTATTAGATATTATTGCTTCCATTTCTTAGATGAGAATATTGAGGTTCAGGGAGGTTAAGTAACTTCAGAGTCACATAGCTTGTAAGTGGTTAATATCCCTTTGAGTAAGAATTTCACTTAAATTATAATTTGCTTAAAGTGGAAGGACATGTAAATTAAAATATTAGTAAAAAATGCCGGGGTGGTTTGGAGGGGTTGATATAGGGACAGGGAGAAGAGTTTATTATGGGGAGATGATACTTAAAAGAAGATGTATGAGATGGTAGTGTCACATGTAGTCCTAGCACAAAACCTACTAGGTTACAATAAATTATTAAATATAGTCATTCCATGTCAAATTTTAAAATTTCAGATATGAAAGACTCAGTCTTCCTGTCTTTGTGGTTTTTTTGTATGCTGTAGTACAATTCTTTCTAGTTTTTTGTAGTCTTCTCCTTTTTGGTACCTATCTACGTTGAATGTACATCTTATCATATGAAGATAAGTGAGATTATACAAATTTATACAGTTGGGGTATAGAATATTTGGTAGCTGGGCCTCCCTAGTTAGAGGCCCTCAGACCTTGGATTTCTTGGTCAGGCCCCATGTTAAGAAGAATCTTTAGCATGAACAAGTAGGAAGGATGAGAGAAAATGATTCTGTTTTAATAGTATACATTTTCCTCATTCGAAGTAGCACGTTACCTTGGATAATAATTTCCAGCTAAATCCTCTCTGTTGTTAAAAGATATGTTAAATAATAAATATGAAAATTTACTAGCTTTATAATGACTTCTGACTTTGTAACTTTAGGAATTATGAAATTATTATTGAATACTGTTTAGATTTCCAGTTATAAAGATTTGATAAGCCAGTTGAGGAATGAAGTAGATGTTAAGGTTAGAGATAAGATTTTATGCTTGTCTCTGATTCCTTAGTTGGCTACTTTCCTTAAGTGAAATTTATGAGTGTACTGGTTACTTTTATGGAAATATTTTAAAATGTTGTTTTAGGAAGTGTTGATAGTCCCTCAAGAACCAGGCATTAAATGTATATGGCTATTATTTTGTTCAAAAAGTTAATTTCCATTTTAAGGAAAGAAGATTTGGATGATGATGATGATGAATGATTAGAGACAGAGTCTCACTCTGTTGCCCTGGCTAGAGTGCAGTGGCATCGTCATAGTTCACTGTGATCTCAAATTCCTGGGCTCAAGCCAGCCTCCTGCCTCAGCCTCCCAAGTAGCTGGGCCTACAGATGCATGCCACCTCAGCCTGCCAGAGTGCTAGGATTATAGGTGTGAGCCACCATGCCTGGCCTGGAGTCTTAATTTTAACATGTTTTAAAAAGACAAGTAAAAACCCTTTATTAAGGTTTAGGTATATTTTCTAGGAAAATAACATAACAAATTTGAATATATTTGAAATATACAAAATGAAAGCAACTAATGTGCTTTGTAATTATTACTCACATCATCTTATTATTAACCAGCTCTATTTCTTATCAGAAATGGAGGAAGAATACATGTACATTTGAGAGAGGAGCAAAAAAAAATCAAATTCATTCTTTCCCAAATAATCAATCAAAACTGATGGCTCCTTAATACAGAATTTGTAGGGCACCATAGTTTTCAAATGGAAGCAGTCTATAGTATGAGCAGGAGGCTTTTATATTTTTAGCATTTGATGAAGAAACATTTGCTAAATTTGAAAGGTACTAATCTGTAACTCAAGATGGTGTCAGGAAGTTAACATTATTTTTCCTGGCATTACTTTATCTTCAGAACTAAATATAAGCAGATGCTAAGATTTGCAAGATGTAATAAAATTAGTTATATGTTTATATTTTAATATATTTGACTGCTTATAGCTGTGCAAACTAGTATTCAAACTTCAACATTTCATCTTAGAATCTCAAGCAATCTTTTTGGCATTAAAACATCCTTCTCCCACCCCACTCCCCCACAAAAAAACCTTAGCTATTTTCAAAGTAGTTTAAGTGATAGCTGATACACAATGTAATAGAGTGAGGACAGATTGCAGAAATTTGAATTATGAAAGGAATCTAATCATTTTAGCTCAGTTAACTTGATTTTTATATGTTTTAAGCAGAAATTGGAATTTATATGAGGTGGTGTCACAAAGCTCTTTGCATTTATAAATGCTCACTCCTGCAAGTTAAAACCTTGGTTCATAATTCCCACTTTGGGTCTTGGGAGCCACTTTTCAATCATTTCTCTCTGCTAATTTTGGTGTCACCCTCATTTCTTTTTAAACGATTCATTTTGAGCAAATTTGTAAATGGCCCTGATGTGTTCTACAATTTAGTCAATTACTGTTTCAGCCTGCAAGCCTCCTGGGGAACGGAACATACATGGCCTGAAGGTACGAATTTCAATAATTGTTTCAGTAAAGTTAGATGGATTTGTAATGCTGTGTTCCACTTATTGAAATGTCAAATAAAACTGTACTTTCTCAAGCTCTGACAAGCGATCCTTTTTTTTTTTTTTTTCCAAATGGGAAGTGGAGAGGGATTCATCTGTAGTGTTTGCTCAATATGTGTATATATTTGGATACTGGGGTTTTGATGCTGTATTTTTAATTATTTAAAATTGTTTTGTCTGTGAGTTTCTTCAGTATGATCATGGGTACTAGTCTCTACAAAGATTTATTTGAGTGAGAATATAGACTTCATTTTAGTGATTAAGCACATAGGCATATTGTGCTTGGATTACCCCGCTCTTCTTTTTGACATATTTATGCTAGAAACATATATCTAGTTAATGTCTTTTATTGTTCTGTGTATTTCAGATTCTGGATTTCTGCTTAGGGCTTCATCTCTGAAAGAAAAGCTGGCTTTGGTATTAGGTTCAAATATTTTATAGTTGATTACTTGGACCACATTTTTTAGTGAATAAGAAACATTCTACAGGGTGTCCCAAAAGTCACCCTACATAGGGAAAATGGGAAATTATAGCTAAATGTACCTTTATTTACAAAATATTCATTACAAAATTTTTCCTTTGTATGGAGACTTTTGGAACACCCTGTACATACAGTGTTCTGCTTGGTTGTAGAGATGGAAGGATATGATAACCAGTGGTTCACTACTAACTCCTGGATATATTCTTAATGTACTTTTTTGAACATACTGTTTTTGTATGTGTTCTAGACAGTGAAATGAATTTTTTTCTTGTTTATCTTTCCTTTTCCAGCACTGTTTAAGTATTTGAATAATGACAGGCATAGAGTATTATGTAATATACAGGTTGTATGGTTCTGTAACCTATATACTGAATAGACTCTAACTGTGGGTCTGTCTAGCAACAAGCTAATTAACCTCCATAGTGAAATGTGAAATTTGTGGCAAATTATAGGTTAATTAGAACTGTGTCCTCAGAACACAAGACTGATCAAGATTCTTTCTTTACTTATAGGTGAATACCCGGGCTGGACCCTCTCAACACAGCAGCCCAGCAGTCTCAGATTCACTTCCAAGCAATAGGTGAGAACAAGCAAGTGAAGTGTGCCGCTGGTGTAATTATCTACAGAGTTGGGCATGGAGTGGTGAGGAAGAGGCTTGTGAGATGATATTTCTTTTTTATAAGACCAAAAAAGTATCCATGTGGCTAAAAAGAAATTTGACCAGATCACTCTAGCTATATACTGACCAAAGAGAAAGGACTTCATATAGAGAGATGAAATTAGAGATGTTAAAATATTAATTTTGGTCTGTGGAGTCATTCTCCTTCATTCTCCAGATCATGTAGAAAATTCAGTGCTTTGGTTTGACTGTTTCCTGCCTTGATGGTCTGTTTTGTCGATTGCAAAAAATGCTTTTTTCTCTTTTTTTTTTCTTTTGCTTGCCCATCTTTTGACAGCATCATCATCCACTGGCATCTTCACCAGAAAGAGACAGGAAATAGGTAAAGTGGAGAAATTGAAATTGACCACCATGTTGTTTATTAGTGTCTTTGGTGTATAGGAAATGGAAGCTAAGAGGGAAGATAATTTTCATTAGTTGATGCTAATATTGCTGGAGTGGATACTAAAGACCTAAGCTTTTTCAAAGTGTTCTTACAAGCCTGAGAACTTACTTCCAGACTATCATGGTCCTCAAGGAGAAAGTGCATCCTGCTTAAACTGATGGAATTCTAGGACATTTTGGTTTTACATTCAGTTATTCAGCCAGTAAATATCATATTATTGTACTTGAGGGTGACACTATGAACATGATTGTTCTATGTGTGCATATGCACATTGGTGACTGAAAAGCCAGCATGGAGCTAGAAAACTCTTCCATTTTATATTGAGGTTTTTCTGGTTTAGGGCTTCAGCCAATTTTTTTCTGGGTTTAGCACTTTAGCCAATATTTATAAAGTGATACCCTATGTTGGCTGAGATGTAGTTCAGGCTTCTACTTTACCTTCAAAATCTCCCCCTCCTCTCTTAACCCACAGTCTTGGTTTTTGGCCAATAGGCTTTACCGGTAAAGTATGTAATTTAAAGTCTCTTTTGACTCTTTCTTTACTTTTATGCCTCTTCCCTGAAGTCACTTCCCCGATTGCCTTATTATGATGTCAGTGTATCTACCCACCAACTTTCCTGCTATGAACATACTGCTCTTAAAGTATGTTTCTTTTTTAAACAATTTATTCTGTCTTAAAACACAGTTGGTCTCGTTATTCACCAGTGGATCATCTACCTTGTGGTCATGAGGGATAGATGTTCTCAAGAAAGGGCTTGGCCCTGCCAAGTGGTCCTTTGCAGCTTCTCTCTCCATGCATGTTGAGCATGTGGGCCATGGCCCAGCAGAGTAGAGGCATTGGGGCTGATGGTCACTTGTTACACTCAGTTTGAAGAAGGCAGGGCATTTCCTTATTACCACTATTTCCAGAACAAGTGTTATTTATACATTATGACCCCAAAGGGAGAACAAGGGCTTTCCCTGGTGTTTTAAGTCAAATTTCATGATGGTATAAAAACTAGAATTGAGTTGAAAAAATGGCAAGACAGAGAAGGTAATTCTCCAAGATTTGGTTTTTAACAACATGGGTGAATTAACTTTGTTATTCAAAAATTATATATTCACAGAGTATTATAAAGTTTTTGGATTGGACAGAGGTTCCAAAACCATCTGATGATTCAGTGGTTCTCAGCCTTTTGTTGGTGGTAACTTCCCTTAGGAATATTACATCCTCCCAAATAATAATGGTAGTTTGTTCCAGGAGTGATTTCTGTTATGAAAGAAATGTGATTTGAAAAAGTCCTACAGGTGATTTTAATATGCCACTCTAGGTTGGCCATGTTCTATGCCCCAGATTGAAAACTAGTCAACAGGTATTTATCGAGTAGCTCCTGTTTATTAGGTACTGTCCTACACAATAGAAATGCAGCATGATCCTTATCTTCTGAAGCTTATCATCTAATGAGTGTACAGACAAAAAAACTATGCAAATAATTACACTTTATTGATGTGGCCCTTATATTTAGTGTCATGAAGGGAACAAGCAGGATGTGAAGAGAGTGGACACCACACAGGAATATGTTTAGATAGATTGGGTCCTCAGGGAAGGCTCTCCAGGGAGGGGATGTTTCCGTCTAGACCTGAAGGACGAGAAGGACCTACTCATGGCAGAGAAGGGCATTTCAGACAGAGGGAGGAGGAGTGTAGGTGAAGGCCCTGAGGTGAGAAAGGATCTTAGCGTGTTTGTAAGTAGGCCAATTTGGCTGGAGCCCAGACAGGGGTCCTGGGTGGAGCAGGGCTATGGGAGGAAGAGGAAGAGTTATAGGAGTGACAGGACATAAGGAGGTAGAACAGAGTCGGGGGATGCAGGGCCTCACAGGCCCTTTAGCGGTTGAATTTTCCTCTCAGTGCACTGGTGAGCCATTAGAGGGTTTTCTGCAGAATGCCATGGTGGGCTCTATGTTTTTGAAATATCCTTTGCCTGTAGGGTGGAGAATGAGTAGGAGAAACACTGAGCTAATCCTGCCCACCTTTGGTGCTTGATTCCCCAGTCCTTGCCAAATAGTCATACAGACTCTTCCTGAGGATTTCTGTGGGAGGAATACACTTTATGGTCCAAGGCAGCCCTCTCCATTTTCCTTTAGCTATATCTTAGCAAACTCTTCTTTGTGAGCTGGAATTTGTCTCCCTTTAGCACCCACTCGTGGTAATTCAGTTTAGTCCTAGACTGTGGCTGTTCCAGGTAATAGCTCTTCCTGGTGATAGCTCTTCCAGTCATCTTTTCTCCAAACATACTACTTCTCCTAGATTTCCTGTCTCTAGATAACCTGCCAGTCCTCTGTCACTGCTCCTAGGAGTTGTGGGTTCTACCTTCTGAGTAGCTCTGAGTCTGTCTACTTTCCAGTATTGTTGCTGTGTAGGTGGTTCAGGCTGTCCAGATCACTGCCACAGCCTCCTAATAGCTTCCTCCCTCCAGTCTTGCCCCATTTCAGTCCCTCCTCCCAGCTGTTGCTGGAGTAATCTTGCTAATGCACAGTTCTGAGCCATCATTCCCTACTTGAAAACTCTTTATTGCTCTTCTCACCATCAGGATAGAGTGCAACATCCACAGCAGGTAAGCCTTTCGCGTGTGGGTTCTCTGCCCACTCCAGCTTGCTGGCCTGCCACTTTGCCTCTTCCCACCTGAAATTCCCGTTTTGCCGATGAACACATGGTACCCTGAATGTATCACTTTCCTCTCACTAGTGGGCCTGCACATATGCTGCTGCCTCTTTCCTGTTTTCTTCCTCTTCTAATCCCCACCTTCACCTTCCATCTGACTCATCTTGGTTGTCTTTGATGACCAGCTTATCTTCTGATGAAAACTGTCCCTAATTACTACCCACCTCCCAGTCTATACCAGGTATTCCTTCTTTGAATTCCCATAACCCTCCCATGCTTCCTTTAATTGTAGCAGTGAGCATATTGTATTATAATCACCTCTGTCCCCCAATAGAGTCTATGTCTCTGGATTAAATTCTCTCCCAACTCATTCGTCTCTACTGACATGACATTAGTTCTAGTCTCCTTACCCTTGTACTCTTCTTTGGATCTCTCAATGTCCCTCTCCAGATGTCATACTCAGATTACAACTGTATCACATTTAAATTTTAAAATGTTTTTGAAAGTAATTTTTGGATAGTTCAGGTCACTGTGACCATACAGATAAATAAAATACTGAGTAAACTGAGTCACAAAGAAATGCCAGGATACAAGATTTTTTTTTACTGGACCAAGTCGGTAGCCAGATATTAGCATAATGAATGAAATCAGTATTTTCCTCTGTTACTCTGAAAGCATGAGTTGTGCTTTGCCTTAGATGATTGAATGTTTATTAAACTGAGCTAATTCACATGGTTGTCCTAGGCCATAATTACTGAATTCAAGTCCCACTGTTAAGACAGGGCCTTTCCTAAACAACTTGACTTTCTCCTTCAATAAAATTAGGATGATTAAACTTTCCATCTAACTACCTCTGGTGTTAGGAAGATTGATGGAACTGTTTTAAGGAATCATGTTTTGTTTCTTGGATGAAAGGTGTTTTGCAAATGCAATGAATCAAAATGTTATTATTTCAAGTTTATAACATAATGGAATATCTGTGAAGAAGTGTTGCCTGGGCTTTGTTTGGTTATTTGTGTCTTTACAATAATTGGTACTTTCAAATTGGGATTCATTTATAGGAATACTAGGATCTAAATGTTTCCTAGAAAAAAAAGTGTGTGCGTATGTGTGTGTGTGTTAAAGAGAGAGAGAAAGAATGACTTTAAGCAAGGTATGTGGCTTAGTTTTTTCTATAAATTAGGGATAATAATAACTATACCCTAAGAGTATAGTTATCATGAGGATTAAATGAGGATAAGCAATGGCATTTACAGTGCCTGGCACATCGTTGTCACTTGATAGATGGTAGCTGCTATTATTATTTTGTTAACTGGACTGATTTTAGGCAGTTTATCAGCTTTAGTTCCATTCTACAACATTCTTAACTTCCACTTTAGTGCATGGATTCTTAGACTTGATAGGACATTATTAAAGTTTAGAACCCTTGAGTGAAGACATATTTTATAAAAGGAAAGTAGGGACTGAGGCTCCATAGTTTGCATTTGACCATAGCAAAAGTTTAAGATGTATTTAGAAAGAAGAATAGCAACTTGAAATGGTAAGTGTGGTCAAACTTAAAGTCTGAGATTTTCTCAGATGTAACCTATTAAAGGTACCAAATGGAGTGTGTGTATGTATACTTCATATTGGGTCATGAGTCCTTTTGCTTTCTAATGCATTTATGTCTTACTGCCTTACTACTGCTACTATCACAATATGATAAACAACAGGTGCAACGAACACTATTTGTCAAACACTTAGCACATGCTAAGTCATTGGGCTAAGTTCAAGAGTGAGGGGGGAATGGAATATATAGAATAAGTAAGATTTTATCTGTGTTCTCAGGGAGCCCCCAGTCTTAGGGGAGGGTATGGTGGGAAAAAAGACATCTACACTGCTAATAACACAGGGGAGAGAGTTAATCTGGTATATAGGCAGAGGGTTAGAGTAGATAGATCAAGAATAGAGTTAGCAAGCTTTAAATTTCAAATAGAATATTGCTGGAGGAAGGTGCTATTTCATATGCCACTCTACTTTTATAATATTTAATTTTGTAATATTTAATTTTATAATTAAATATCTTTTAATTATAAAAGATTAAAGATTTAATCTTACAAAAGATTAAAGATCTTTTGTAATATTTAATTTTCCTGGTTACCCTATGGTTGTTATTTTCCCATTTTATAGAAAGAGGAAATTAAGGTTGAGAGAGGATAAGTAACTTGTCCCAAATCACACGGCTAATGAGTACCAGGATTTATTTTTACTATACATTTGCTTCCTAGGAAGCTGAATTATAGCTCTTAACTGTAGTAAGGACTTAAACTATGTATTTTATCTTTTGAAGTTCTGTACTCTCTATTTGCTGTAAATATTCTGAGTGTGTTGTTAAATGCTTTGTGCTTAGCAGATGAGAATGTCCATATAAAATTGCCACTGAAAGGCCACCCGGAGGCAGCAGAACTAAAAAAGTCACTGAAGTAGTCCATAAAATATTGTAGCTTCATTTTGACTGTAGGCCTTTTTATTGCTTTAGATTACTAATGGGGTTTAGTCTCTTCATTGATACCTTTGGCATGTGGCCAGTTACTTTTGAAAAAATTTTATACAGGAAGAAGTATGCAAAGAGTATAGTTAGTGCCTACACCTAAGAGCAAAGGTGTATTTTAGTCTGGAATTTTGGATGGTATTCAGAGGTGTTGATCTTGTCACTAAATATTATGTCTTTCCTTTTCAGCCTGAAGAAATCTTCTGCTGAACTGAAAAAAATATTAGCCAATGGCCAGGTAGGTATTATTACATTGTAATATTTTCACATAGTAGTAATTTATTACTGTCCAGTGTTTATATTCATAAACTTATTAAACAGTTAAAAAGTATGTGAATTTCTTCTTGTCATAAATGAGTAACATGGCTTAATTTGATTGGCAGAACAATTTGCAGCACGTTTTTCAAACTGTGCTAATGGGTTTCACTCCCAGCAGATTGAAGTACCATGCACACACCCTGCTGCCATCTCAGTTTAAAAAAAGTTAATCAGTTCTGAACAAGTGTGTCAGCCCATGGGTTGTTGAAATGGCCCTGCATTCTGAGGTGATGGTTTCTTTCATTATCTTTGGGGAGAAAAGGAAAAACCGTTACTTTATCACCTTAGCTCCTTCTTTTGTCCTGAAACTAACACTGGCTTTTTAGGAGAACAGAGTGACAGCAGACCTTTGGCATTTAAAATTCCTGGCCTTCAGGAGACCTTGGTTTGCCTAGTCGACTGGCCATCTGAAGCTGAATGACCTAACCCCGTCAGGGAGGGACACACGGGCCTGCAGGCCAGTTATTTCTCACTAATTTTGATTCAAGTAAATGGACACTTCTGAAATAGTATAGTGCTTTTAAACATACACTGGTAAATTAAGCTACCTACAGGGTCCTCGATTCTTCAATAGCAACATAAATGTGTTTTAATGTTTGTTATAGTGGAAGCCCTTTGATAGCCTTGGAGGCAGGCGCCTGTCCATTGCGATCAAGCCTGCCTATTAGGCTCTATTGACTGAGACATCTGTGTCACCGCAAATAAAAGACTCTTATTGATTTTCTTAACTGCTGTTCACTTCCCGTCCATGTTTCGAACCCTGAAATCTTAATTATCTCAGATGCTTATTCAGTGCCTTCACACACTGACCTCTCCAAGCCTCATTGGCATTTCATGAATCAAGTACTTGTAGTGGAGCATGTCAGGAAGACAAAGCCAGCTCCTCATGCCTGTCCTTTAATATCACCTGTAACATTGTGGCCTAATAGATGTATGTACCTTAAAATGGTGATTGTGTGGTAGTGCTTCTGGAAGCCTTGCTTATTGAGCACGTAATTCCTGGAATACAGTTAAAAAAAATTAAGTTGATCTGGTTCTGACATTTGATGATCATCCAGTATATGAATTCTAGTCCTTAAATACTCTGTATACAGTTAAGGATAATCTGGTGTTGTATGTATAATCTTGATAGTGTCTAAATTTTAGATACTGTTTATCTAATACTTTTAACTTTAAGCAGCCAAAGATTTGTTTAGATTGAAGTCCATGTCTATATCACCCCAGTATCCTGTATGTGTTCAGAACTGGTATAAACAAAACCTGACTAAAAGCAGAAATAGTGAGCCCCGGATATTTAAGTATCTTCAACATATTTGAATTCTAGTTACTAATTATAATTTATGTACAAGTCACTTGTGTTCTTCAGCTGGAAAATATATTTCAAAATTGACATAAATTAAGAAGCTTTAACTACATTTGTTCAGCCAGGCAATGGAAAATAACCTGTCATAGATTCCTCTTTCAAAAGTGAAAAACAGGCCGGGCACGGTGGCTCACGCCTGTAATCCTAGCACTCTGGGAGGCCGAGGCGGGCGGATTGCTCGGGGTCGGAGTTCGAAACCAGCCTGAGCAAGAGCGAGACCCCGTCTCTACTATAAATAGAAAGAAATTAATTGGCCAACTAATATATATATATATAGAAAAAATTAGCTGGGCATGGTGGTGCATGCCTGTAGTCCCAGCTACTTGGGAGGCTGAGTCAGCAGATTGCTTGAGCCCAGGAGTTTGAGGTTGCGTGAGCTAGGCTGACGCCATGGCACTCACTCTAGTCTGGGCAACAAAGTGAGACTCTGTCTCAAAAAAAAAAAAAAAGTAAAAAACAAGGTTGGGTGCGGTGGCTCAGGCCTATAGTCCTGGCACTTTAAGAGGCCGAGGCAGGAGGATTGCTTCAGGCCAGGAGTTTGAGACCAGCCTGAGTAACATAGGGAGACTCTGTCTCTACAAAAAAAAAAAAATTTAGCCAGGTGTGGTGGCACGTGCCTGTAGTCTCAGCTACTTGGGAGCATGAGGCAGGAGGATCGCTTGGGCTCAGGAGTTTGAGGTTGCTGTGAGCTATGATGACACCACTACATTCTAGCCCAGCAACAGAGCAAGATCCTGCCTCAAACAAACAACAACAACAACAACAAAAAATGAGAAAGAAAAACAGTTTATTTTCACTGCAAAAAAAAGCATTCTGAAATGTTCCTAAAGTTTTGACAACAAACCTAGTACCATAAATGTTTTAGTGGTCTCAGTTAGGAGGTTCTCTATTGTGGGAGATTGTCATAGCAATGATTTTTGACACTTAAAGATTGTTTATTGCTTTCCTTTGGGAATGTGATAACCCCACATTAAACAGTATGACATTTTCTTTCTTTTAAGGATTAGCCTTTTTAATATTTACTTTCACTTAAAAAACCCAAAAAACAAAAGACCCACTTTTGGAAGCTTTCAAAATACTTCCTACTAATTCCGCAATTCCTTGGTGCTGTAGGGTAATTAAACAGTGAGTGAGATTCCATTGCGGTGAGGTAATGTACACAGTGTGGGCATCAGTATATTTCTAGGCTACACACTGACACCACTTGATATGGAAGATGTGAGTCACATTTAACGATACTTTAGCACTTGAGCATAGTTTTTTATTTCAGTGGTTTATCAAAGCATTAATAATGATTTGCCTTTCCACTAGCCTCCACTTAGATTTAATAAGGAATTCATATTAATCATTAAAAGAAAGGGACATGATTCTTCAAGATAATCAAATATTGACAGGTTAGAAATAGCTTTCTGCCTGGGTTCATTGATATAGGTTATGTGATATAAATATTTATTTCTTTTCTGTCACTCAGAGTAAATGCCACCAATTGATTCAACATTGATATAGTGTCAACAGTTCATAAGAAACATTTGACTGGCTTGTGTTTTCCGATTAGTCTCTGCTCTATAAAGTGGGATTTACTAAATCTCTCCAATTGTCTGCTCATAGAGTGTGACTGCTTTCTGAAACCATTATTGCTTCGATTTGTGAAGCAAAGGTCTAGTGATAGGACTAGTTTCTGTCAGACCTTTACATATAAAATAAGGATTAATTGAGCATTTTTATTTTAATGATTTATAAGCGATAGGTACTGATTCTTCTTAGCACAGGCAGACAATAAACAAAAGAATGTTTTCTTTACTGATCTGTAATTGAATTCCATTTCATTTTCCCCATAAATTTCATGAATATTAATATGTTAAATCAAGCACTTTTTAAAAAGTTTAACATTTATTCTTTGGAATGGAGACATTGTTTCCCTGTTAACGCTTGAGAGGAGTATTTAATTTTTTTCCAGCTTAAAAAAATAAATCATAAGGTATTTTTGGCATGTTTTATTGAGAACTATAAATCAGTCTCACTGATGTGTTTTCTGGATGTGTTTTTCCTACTTTAGTTCCAGTGTGGCATCATCTGTTTAACATTGGCCCTTGATTTGAAACTGATTAGAAGTAGCCCAAAGGGTCAATTTAGAGGATTTAAAAAGTACACAGTTACTCTAAGGATATGTGACTTTGACCTTTGCATCTCAAAGGTTGTTTTTCCTCTTTTTCTTTTTTAGATTTTATAGGAGATGGTGACAATATTTTCTTATTACTGTTAAGCCAAGATGTATTCATAAATGTACTGAGGAGTCACAGATCTAGAACTAATTCTGGTCCAACTGCATCTTTGCCTATAATTTTGAGAACTTGAAATGCCTTTAGAAAAACTTTTTGTGTTTAGGAAAAAAAAAAGTGTTGGGGGAAATAGGTATCTATTGTAAAGTTAGCTTGGAAAACTGTATCATCACCAGTTTTCTCTTAGATTTTTACAGTTTGTTTTGGAGCCCATACGAAGACTGAAACATAAATGAGAGTATGTATATAAGTCCAAACTACAGGACACCCTTCTCTACCTGCATAAACACAGCCTGATTGCCCATGGGTTGCTGCTGTCTCTGTTTCTTTCATGGGCCCTGCCTTTCTTGCAGCAGGAGCAGAGCCCTGTGCCAGTCATTTCTCTAAGGTCATTTGCTGTCTTGGCAGTTGACAGGTAATTGTAACTCTTGTGGCTTTTTCTTCTTCCTCTCTTACAACTATTATTTTGCCTCTTATTTGCTTTTTTTTTTTAGTCAAAACAAGGAAACTGAACTATATTTTAAAATTATTTGTTATCATTATTGAATGAAAAAGTTTACCTCTTTTCAATTTAAAGAGCTATGTGATTTTTAAAACATTTTTCATCTTAAAAACAAACATCATAGCTAATTAAATTGCTTTTAACTTGTGAGTGCCCTTCAGTTGATTGTTTACCTTCCTATGAGCCAGTGGCCATTGATAAAGGAATGCCCCTCCAAACTTCCACCTGAGACAAAGTGCTGATTTATAACATTGAGCTGGAGTTTACTGAAAGACTGAATTCTAGCCTTGACTAGTTGTTACTGACTGGTTATATAACCTAAATGAATTGAGTTAAATGGCCTTAAAATACTATAAAATTCTGTGATTTTTATGATACTTGATCCCAACTATTATGTAATATTTAAATGCAGTACTCTGAAGGCTTATAAAGCCCATTTTCTTATGTCATGAGCACTGTTCCTGTGCTTCATTTTGAAAAGTTGAATTAATATGCTCATTTAAAATAAAAAGGCAAAAATGTTATTAGATGTTTGTGATCCCTTTAATGATTTTTTCATAGTTAAGATTAATTAAATTAAGCCATTTTTTTATCAGAGATATGAAATTCTTAAAATGTTTTTTGTAATCAATTCATGATTATAGTTTTCTGCTTTACTAGTTTTCCTTTTTAAAAGTCTTTGCAGGAGGAATATTTGCATACTGCATAAAAGTTAGAAAATTCAAATAAGCAAAAAAGAGGAATCTTATTTTTTTAATATTAAAAAATTATCAATCAGTTCTTAGGCCAAAGGTATATATAACTTTAAAACATTATAGGAACAACACTTTAATCATTTTTTATGGATACTGTCTTTTAAAATAACTAATTAATTAATTAGAAATGGAGTCTCCTTAAGTCTGGTCTCAAATTCCTGGCCTCAAGCAGTCCTCCCACCTCTGCCTTTCAAATTGCTGGAATTACAGGCATGAGCCACTGTACCCAGCCCTGGAGACTGTCTTTTTAAGTGACATGGTTCTAGAACTTGCTCTTCAAAACCATCTTTATGTAACTCTTGCGATCTTCCTCATTATCTGAAGGATTCTATATATCTATCTTGATTTTTTTCTGTCCTTGAATTTGCTTACATAGTGCTTAGTGCATATGCACATACACTTGCAACAAACAGCACTTTCCTTCTTCCCTTCTCATACTCCACCCCCTCCTGGGGCTCTCAGCCTATCTTCTAGCTTCTTGTTAGGTTGAAATGCTGGGAATACAGGTTGGAGAGCTACTCCACTTCTCTTTTCACTCTAATGGGTATTAGTGGTAAAAAGACTATGATGTCAGGATTATAATGGTTGAATGTGCTCATAGATTTGTCACACCTACTCCATTGCCTGTGGTGGAGGGGATATGACCACATACTGTGGCCTATCTGGAGCCTAGACCCTAGATACTGCATAGCTACATCCTGCTCACCCTTAAACCTCAGTGCCACTAATTTAGAATTTGTGTGCTTGAATGAGTGAAATATCTCTCTCCTAGAAATTTATTCCAAGCCATGATGAGAGTGCGGCTTGGTAGGTAAATTAATGGCACAAATTAGGTTGTAAGAGACATGTTCAGATTACCTAGACAAATGTTCTAAAGAAATTAGCCTGGTAGCCTGTTTGTACTCACTATTAGATACTGCTCTTTACATATCCTTCATTGATCAAAGTAAACCAAGTAGCTACTGTGCTAGTTTAGCATCTCAAGTCACTTCATGTGCTGCTTTTCTTTATGCTGCTTTAAAATTTATCATTCAGTCCAGAACGAGGTTTTTCTTGTCTTCATACAACATACTTTATACAGGTTAAAATTTTTTTTTCTATGTGGATAGTGAAGAACAGACTTCCCCTCCAATGGGAAAATTGTTGCCAATTTTTCTGACTTGTCTGTCGTTTCTTCACTGACCCTAAATATAGTAATTAGCTGATTGTAAATTGCTTCAATCTGATTGTACTACAATTAAATTGGGTGCTGAATTGGCCTTTACACATTAATCTGTCAATATTCTTTTAGGGTTTGGCAAAACAGCTTGGAAAGGAAGCTGTTTCTGTTACTTGCACTGTACTCCTAATTATCACAGCTCTCTGAAGCTTCAACTTCAGAAATGTATAGAAGAAAAATGTTTCCCTTGATAAATGAAGCCTTTCTTTATTCAGTTGGTGGAAGTTTAGAACAAAATATTTAAAGCTTTACTATAATGGTCTGAGAGCAAACTATTTTTTTTCCAAGTGATATTGAATTAAAAACTCCATCCATTTTCTGCCCATGTAAGGCAGTGCAATTCCCTGGAAATTGATTTTTTTCCCAGGGCTTACTATGGCTTTCCCAAGCTTTAGCTATATGGAAAATAACACCTTTATTAAATCCACTTAGTGAATAAAGTTGGCAGTTAATTTTTAAGCAACTGGATCAGTATGTAGAAAATTACTGAATGCATCAATTAAAATCTGACTGGTCTTAAAAGTCATTCAATAAATAATTATTTAGGAAGTTTTCTAAAAACTCTGAAACATTATTTTGTTAGTACTAATATAATTCACCCACTATTTGCGATACAAATGAGAGTAGTATTTGTGGTATAATAGGTTTTATAGAACTTTGGAAAATGTGCCTTGTTTTATATATTGTGAAAATGACTTTGTTTTATAAAAATTACATGTCTATATGTTTTCCCTTTATGTATTATAATATTTGGCTATGTGTGCATTTTAAGGTGCATTGATTTCAGGCTTTTCTGTCAGCATAATATGATTTCTGCCCAGTTATTGCTATAAACTAGTTTATCATTTACAGAGAAAAGCTATATCTCCTGTAGGAAAATTATAAACGTTATTCAGTTAGTTTGTTAAACGTTAATTATAGGGTCACCTGAGGAGTTTTCAGGGGCTGATTTACTTGTAGATCATGCATTAGATTGCTGGGTGTGTGTTTATGTGTGTGTATTGTCTTCCTAAGTTTGACTTTGGTTATGTGCAGCGCTATTTGGCATTGGTTGTATGCAGTACTGGAGACTGTTTTCTTATCAGTATCTCTGACCTGACCCTTTTGAGCTATGTTATATCATTCCATTTTGACACCTTTTATCAAACTTTAATGAAATGACCCAGGCAAACAAATTGTCATTAAACTTTCCATCACTTTGTCCCTTGGTATCGTCTTTTATAAATTGGACAGCAAATGTTGTATTGATCTTCTCGTTCTTGCAGCTGAACTTGAAATGACCCAGACTGCATGTTGTTTATGGCCCAGAGTTGCTTTTCCTTGACATTTCCATCCACAGCATGACACCCTTTTTGTTTTTCTTTCTTTCTTGTGGAGATGAATGAACAAGACATACGGTATCGAGACACCCTTGGTCATGGCAATGGAGGCACAGTCTACAAGTGAGTAGTCAATTTTGTTTAAACTTTCTATCCACTTTTGCCGAATACTGAGTATCCAAGTTCTCCATGGCAAAGATTTTTAGATGACCACCAATATTTAGATTTTATTTCCACATTTGACTCCAAAATTCTGCAAGGCATCTATTTTCTCAAGATTGCCTGAAAAGTGCATTTATATTGCCTTTTTAATATTTCTGAGTTGGCATCTCTCCTGAGTGTGTACTTAATAGCCCACCATTAGCAAGTGTACCTTTAACTGGCCTGAAGTTTAATGCATTTTTTCCTTTGCTCTTTAACACTATTTTTTTTTTTTGACATTTTGCTAGCACCCTATGCTAGTCCCCTGCCTGTTTACAGTTATGCCCAGCGGAAGCTAGACCTTATAAATACCATTGCTTTGCCCTGTGTTGACACTGTAAGTTATTAAAAACCCTTCTTCCTGTTGTATTTCCTCCTCTCATCACCCTACTCCCCTGAGAGAATTTCTACACGTTGATGAATATGTTAAGTTATAAAATTCTCCCAAATTCTAGTTGCAGTGATCTTACCCTAAAGGAGTGTTGATTTTCATATTAAAAAATGCTAGCCATAAAAAATAGTTCTCTCGACAGGGAAGTCTTTCTCATGCAGTAGTGCAAAGTTTAAACTACATAATGTAATATCTGGTACTTAATAGTCTGCAATGGTGTATGAAAAATATTCCACTAGGAATTTAAAAAATCTATACTCTGTAAGAAAGCCCTGAGGGAATAATAAAGCTTTCCTCCAGAGAGCTGTTTTCCATATATACACTAACCCTGCATCACATTATGATTGTCTTTTTACCTTGGATATTTCAACATTGATATTAATATATATTTTCAGGGTTATAAAATAATTAATTTTCTAATTAGTTACTCCTAGTCTTAGAATTTTAAGTTCTGTCTAACCACATGTGTACAGATAAAAATTACACTGTTGTCCTGTGACCATGAGGGGTTACATCCTAAAATCCCAGAGCACTCCCCTATCCCCACATCCATGCAGCCTTAGCATAGAATTAGATTTCTCAGGGTTGGGAGCTACTTCAGAGACATCTGATCTAGTCACCTGTCCATGGTTTCAATCCTCTCTGCATATACAGCCAGGATGTGAGTCCTTTCTCCTCAATATAGTCTTTTAAGAACTTATGTTCATATAGTTGGATTATTTTTTCCTGTGGATGATGGAGTATTGTGAAAGTAAAGTCCTTCCACTATGATAATTCAGAGAAATAAATAAATAACATGTTTCTTACATGATCTTTGGGCCTTGCCCTTAAATGTTTGAGGCCTAATGTATCTAATGAGTTTTAAGACTACTGTTATCCTTACCTGGATCATACTTTCATTCCATCCCATACAGCCTCCAGTACTGCATAAATGACATATCTTCATATTAGTCTTCTCCTCCTTACTCTTATCTGACTTCAATTTTTACCCTGTTCTAAAGGCTCTTGAGTTCAAGTACCTGTAGAAAGGAAAGAAGCAGAAAGAACATGCTCACTTCAATTTGCTTTTCTTTTTTTTTTTTTTTTTTTTGAGACAGAGTCTCGCTTTGTTGCCCAGGCTAGAGTGAGTGCCATGGCGTCAGCCTAGCTCACAGCAACCTCAAACTCCTGGGCTCAAGCAATCCTCCTGCCTCAGCCTCCTGAGTAGCTGGGACTACAAGCATGCGCCACCATGCCCACTAATTTTTTCTATATATATTAGTTGGCCAGTTAATTTGTTTCTATTTATAGTAGAGACGGAGTCTCGCTCTTGCTCAGGGTGGTTTCGAACTCCTGACCTCGAGCAATCCTCCCGCCTCGGCCTCCCAGAGTGCTAGGATTACAGGCGTGAGCCACCGCGCCCGGCCCAATTTGCTTTTCTTGAGTTCCCTGGGAGGAGCAGTTTTCAAAGTCTCAACCTTTTTTCTTAATCCTTTTATGATCATAGCCAAATATATTATAACAGGAAAGATTTTTTAGCAACTATTTGGATTACTTTTATTGGCTTCAAATGGAATCCAAAAAGATTTCTTTAGACTCCTAACCTACTTATCTGTTATTTCATCAAATGTTTAGCTTTTTATCTCTTAATTGAAGATCTATTGTGAATTTACCATCCTGGTTTGTTCTAGAAGGGAAGAAATCATAAGAACACCAGACTCCAGCAGAATTTATATTGGACATAATATCCTAGATATTAAAATTTTAATCCTTTATCTTAAAACATAGATTTATTTTTTAAAAGGGGGAAGGAATATACAGGAAAGTGGAAATAACATGCCCAACCCTCAAGGAACGATTACAACATAAAATTATGTTAATGTTTTAAAAATTATTTTTTATTGTGATGAAATACATATGACAAAATTTACCATTTTAACCATTTTTAAGTGTACAGTTCAGTGGTGTTAAGTACATTCACATTGTTGTGCAACTATTAATATCAATACCATCTGTCCATAGAACTCTTTTCATCTTGTATAACTGAAACTCTGTCCCCATCAAACAGTAACTCTCCATTCACCCTGTTATTGTTGTTTTTAGCTAAGAAGCATGGCTAGAACTTCTCTTTTCATTAGGGCCACATGTTCAAGGGAACATTGCCCCAGATGTCCTTAGCACAAGTTCTCTAATTTGCTAGAACACTGTGGTGACATCAGCAACTTATCCTAAGAGTTCAGTTTGCTACCGTTACTAATGTTCAATGTGAGTGTTGTAACATTTAATATGTTTTACTAGTGGTTGCTTGTGGAGGGTGAATGGCAGTATCATGATAAGTTTAGTACTTTATATAGTAGGTCTTTTATAAAAAATTCCATTTATCCTATTGCCTATGTGATTCTTAAGGGGAGAGAACATGAGGATACCAAATTGCATAACCACTTGTCATTGATCACTGGGCTTTCTTTCTGCCTGGGCTTCAGCTTGTGTTGTTCTTATATCCCTTTTAATTCAGCACAAAAAAATGGTAGAATCATCAAGAAATGAGAAACCACTTTACTAAAGTCTCTATAAAACCAAGTATTTGATGTGTTGTGATTGAGTTTCCCCTACACTAAGTTTACCTTAATGGTGTTGATGATAAAAATTGTGGTTTTTTCCAAACAAAACGATTACGTTATAGGCTATGCTACATAAACTAGATGAAGAAAATATTGGAAAATCCACTCATTGGTAACAAAACTGCCTAATGGGCCTATTTAATTTTTTTATAAAATGTAATAAAGCTAATAAGTGCAAAGCATAAGTTTAATATTTCAGTCTTTTTCTCTCCACTTAATGGGATGTTGTGAATTTCAAGACATATGATATCGTGTACAACTACAATGTATATATTATTTAATAGTTGATACATTTTTATCCTTTAAGTCTAGATGTTCTCTACAGTTACACAACATGAAATTCTGTCCCCAGACATTTAGACCAAATGGTAATGTAGATTCTGTTGGCTGTCCTTGCTGAGCTGTTCTCTGTGTTATGATAGTGATCACGGCAGGTTTCTTGGATTACTAATTTGGGCTAAATGGATCATAAAGGAAATACCTTAGACTAAAGTATAGCCCAAACCTGGGAAGAAGAAAAGTTTAGGAAAAGATAATGAATGCATTTTATTATTGTTCAATTTTCCAAAGTACTATATATTGCTTCAAAAAAATAAACTCAGGAAAGATATATGTTCTATTCCCCTTTGAGAGATTCACAATGAATTTCAAAAACTTTAAGTAAAGAATAGTATATGTTGTGTTTAGTGTGGGAGCTCTGAGTTTCAATCTTGCCTCTGCCACTGACTAGCTGTGTGAGCTCAGGCAAGTTATATAATGTCTTATGCCTCAGTTTCCCCATCTGTAAAATGGAGATAATAATAGTATCTATCTTACAAGGTTGTTGTGAGGTTAAATGAGATGATACATAACAGGCTTAACACTGTGACTGATACTTATTAAATGTTAGTTACTGGTAATAGTAGTACTAATGATAGAAAAATTATTTATTTAAACCCTGTACTTCTTACCCTTACTTGGCCATGGGACTCTTTTCGAGGCAAATCTATAAACATCTTGTAGAATTATATTTGTGTTGAACTAACTTAGAGAAATTCTGCATTTATATTATGATTCATATTATACTTCTATGTTTTCTTCTCCAGTTTCATGAATAATAAGATTTATTGTTAAATCTTACATATAATGATTTTTTTTAAAGTTTCAAAGTATTTTTCTTTTATCATACTTTATATTTAAATTGCTGTAGGACAGCTGGTATAATGTTAAGCCCATTTTATCACTGAAAAAACTAGGACTTACAGTCATGTGGCCATTCAGTGGCAAAGCCAGATCTCTGCATACCATCTCTTTTCTTTGCCCTGTGTTTTTCCCCCAGGCGGTGTGGTTTCTCAAGGTCAGGCAGAGTCCATTGTGTTTCTTTGTGTTTTCTAGCATACCCAGCACAGTCTTAAGGATAGAATAGATCCTTGACATATGTTGGCTGAAATGAGAATGAGGCGAGTGGAAGCTTTTTCAGTTAGGTTATAGTAGGGCTCTTTAATTGGATCATTCCCATATTTAGCTAGTCTTAGAGGCTGCATAATTTATTTTAGAAAATTCACCTAGAAGAATAGGAATTTCCAAAGTAAGGACATATACTCAAATCATTAATTTTCTTTGAAATGTTTAAACTTTGAATACTTAGCATCCATTGACCCAGCATACCAGTCACTATTTTGTTTTCTTGGATAGTATGTCACATTGAGATGAAAATAATTAACAGGCCAGTTACTTTGGAGACATTTTTTGATTCCAAAACCAGTCACTCATACTTTTCTTCTTTGACACATTGTTTGATGTAGTCACTCAAACTTTGGTTCCAGAAATGAAGTGATATTTAACTCTTAGGATTAAATCTTGGTAAGTCAGCCAACAATCATTGAAGGATCATTTTTTGTATTTTTTCCTTAATACAAATTATTCAATCTAAAACTCAAATGTCAGCTTTT